ATACACAGCTATGGGAATACAGATGCACAGCAGGTTAAGTGGTGTGCTGCTAACCACGGTTGACAGTTCAAACCTACCAGCCACTCCTCCAGAGAAAGGTGACGCTGCCTGGTCTTGTTATTAGTTACAGTGATGGAAAGCCTCTGGAACAATTTGATTCTGCCCGTTGAGGCCCTATGACTCAAATCAACTGAATGGCACCGGGTTGTTAAGCAGGAGACACATTTCTCTCACAGTGAACAGTTCATGTTGGAGGCCTGTGCTCCATTAAATGATCAAAGTACTTAGAGTCTTTCTCTTGTGTTACTAATTCACCTGTGAATTCATTCTTCTTCTCATGATTTATTGCGGCTCATCAGCTCTGTGTCCACATTTATAGAAATTAGAAATCTAGAATAAGTATTTTATCTTATTAGATGGTGATCCACAAAATATATTACCTATTGGCCTGTATTTGTTCAATGCTGTGGAAGTTTCCCATCTGAATAGCTACTGGTTCAATGGCTGTAGTATATCTGTCACTTGATTATAAAAATAGCACATACTTCTAATACAGAATCTCCATAATACAAGATAGTAAAGGGAGGATAGGGGAGTTACCATTTATTTTGCTTCCCCAGTATGCATAGTCACACATTTCCTTCTTATTTTTTCCTCTGTTTGAAAAAAGTGTTTTGCACATATTCAGGCATTTTTTCTGGGGGATACATTTTCAGACCTCCTGAAATCACAGATAGCACCAAACACGTTTGAATTATGGCGCTGGTGAGGTCTATTGAAAGTACAGTGGACCGGCTAAAGAACAGCACATGTCATGGAAGAAGTACAGCCAGACCGGTGAGGCTGCATCTCGGTTCCTTTGGACATGCTGTCAGGAGAGACCAGCCCCTGGAGAAGGGCATCACACTTGGAAAAGCAGCAGCGGGGCAGTGACAAAGAGGAAACCTTCAACAAGGTGGAGTGACCCAGCGGGTGCCTTGCTTGGGCGCAAACATAAGGACGATGGTGAAGATCGCACAGAACTGGGCCGTGTTTCATTGTTGCATACGAGTTGGAAACAACGTGAGGGCACTGAACACTGTCACCACCACCAAACCCGAACGGCTTCATTTTGTCCTGTACATACACAACTGTGATAACGTGTAATGTGTAAGTTAGGCATGGTAAGAGATTCGTAGAAATAAATAATGGGCAATTATCAGATATAGACGCATGAACAGGAACGGGAGGGCAGGAGAAAGGAGGACTGCAGGAGATCTAATCGGACTACTATTTAACATTGTTGGGCCCTGATTGACAGCTGGTAACTGAAACCACAGAAAAATAAATCATAGATAAAGAAGGACTACTATTTTATCATTGCTGTATCCCTTCCTTTTCCCAATGCAATTGGTTGATGTTGAGAAGCTTCATTTTAGTGGCGGATTTACACATAGACTCTCACCCATTTTATTTTTATGTTATTGTAGAATATTTCCAGAGTTTCACTATTGTAAATAAATTGTTATATTCTCCCTCACACATTCATCTTCTCCTATATGTCTTATAGGGTAAATTTCTAGAAAATGTATTCCAAAATTTGTTTTCAGATACTTATGCCCCTTTTTTCAATTACCAGCAGTATATTAGGACTCATTTAGAATAACCAGGAAACTAGGAAAATAGCATTAGGTATCTTGATTTTTGAATTTTTTCCCAGCAGTTTTATTGGACTATAATTTACTTATCATACAGTGCCTAGTTCAATCACATGAAGAGGAGGTGTGCAATCATCATTACAATTAGCTCTAGAACATTTTACTCATTCTTGTGCTCATCATTATCAGCTCCGCATTTACTCCCACCCTCCCCTGTCATCTCCCATGAACCATTCGTCCAGTTACCATTCACTGATCCTGGATTTTATATACAGAAAAAAGCAAGCAAACAAACAAAAGTAACAAGAATAACAAAGTTAAACAGACAAAAGCCTCAATTGAAAAGAAAGCAGAAAATATAAAAATTCGAACAAATTTAAATGGATTATAGGGAAATCAAATGGTAGGGTGTTAAATTTCAGTCTGCCAGCATCGGCAACAATCCACTTTCCACTACAGTCTATGTGTAGACAGGCCGTTCACATCCCTGCTCTCTGGGCAGAAGGGATTCGTCAGAGGCTCAATCCACCATTTCCCTTCATGGTTTTTTTAAAACGGAAACAGCTTTAAAATGGTTCAAAAGGGATATAAAATGATGACACAATGTTTTGACCTAACTATCTTCCAGAATCTAAGTTAAAATGCTCTCTGTCTGATAACAGGGTTATTCACATCTCTCTGCCATGATTAAAGGGAATTTACCAGATGTTTAACCAATATGGGGACCTTGCACTTGGATTTTGGGCTTCCAGTGTTATACATAGCTTTCTACAAACCAAGTGTTCGCAATTTAAGCTCTAAAACTATTCCCTCCTTTCAATTTTCAAATGTATATTTTTATATGCTTTGGATTACACAGGCTGGTGTGCTTCTGCCAGGTGGGATTAGTTGACGCCTCATTTAGGTGGCTACTTTTTGAAAAAAGCCTTTAAGACTCCAGATGCTATTCTTTCTCATAGCTGGGAACCATCTAGTTTCTTCACTACACTTTGCTATACTACCCATATCTTTGTGATTTCTTCATGAGGGCAAGAATCAAGCAGGGACATGTCATAAGAACTAATTGTTCTTAGATTGGGCTAGCGTTAAGTGCAAGCTCAAATTCATTCATGCATATATGGTTTATATATGTCTCTGGTTCACCTTAGAGACATCGTTATTTTGTGTAGAAAACATTATCATCTAGGCAGCACTTCCACTCCCATCGAGCCAATAGTGACTCATAGTGACCCTATCGGAGAAGGTAGAACTGCCCCTGTGAGTCCCCAAGCCTAAACATCTTCACAGGAGTAGAAAGCCTCATCCTGCCCCTGTCAAACTGGCCAATGGTTTCAAACTGCTGACCTTTCAGTTGACAGCCCAATGAGTACCCACTATGCACTGATAGTGTCATTAGCTTAGCCAGTGGTACAAGAATTTAAAACACTGTTGAGAAAAGGAGATTATACAAGTATAGGCCAGCAACAAATCGCAACATATAAATTGACTTGCACAGATTAAACTCTTGTGACTGGACACTATTTACATAAACAATGGAGTTGGTGATAGAGCAAATATTCCAATACTATTCGCTCACAGCAGCAGAGCCACACATCCCAGATTAATATGTTTCATAATGAAGCAAGAATCTTAGACTGTAGGTATTATTTGATTTTATAATTCATTAATTTTATTTTACCTTTTTTTTCACTGTGGATATCATACAACTATTTTCCTCAGCAACATGCAAAAGCACATGGGATCAATGCATTTTGGCTGGAAAATATTTTTAAATCAATTTATTTCTGATTCATGTTGTAATGTGTTGGTCCGTGCTCTGCTGCTCCATGAAAGGCTGGTACTTCTAGTTCACCTGCTGCTCTCTGGGAGGAAGATATGCCAGCCTTCGTCTGTAAAAGATTTACAACCTAGAAGCCCTGCCTGACAGAGCCCTGCTCTACCAGATTGGGTTTCTATGAGTCAACGTACACTTGTGATGAGAGATTTAGTTTGGAATGTATTGGCCGTTAGCAGAGTTTAGTAGTTTATATATATCATTTACCTTTTTTTCCTGTTTGATTTTACCTATTTTAACATATTTTATTTTATTTAAATGAATATATGTGATTTCTTTCAAGTCAGTGTGTCAACCTCTGTCTAATATGATTATTGCAGATTTTTAAATTGTTTGTTGTATTTTTGACACACATATTAGAGGCTTTATTTCTTAATATATAAAACATTTCCTTCATATGTTTTTCCATTGATCTAGTGCTTTAGAAAATCTTTTCTGATCCTTAGAATACATGTTATGTATTCAGAGCTGACTCATACAGTTCTGAATACATGTTATGTATTCAGAGCTGACTCATACAGTTCCTCATGTTGTGGTGACCCCCAACCATAAAATTATTTTTGTTGCTACTTCATAACTGCCTTTTTGCTACTGTTATGAGTCAGGCGACCCTGGTGAAAGGGTCATTCGACCCCCAAAGGGGTCGCGACCACAACTTCAGCTTTAGAGTATCACTTCATTTTAGTTATTCTAGCACTCTAAAATATTAAATTTACTGATAAGAGTTTAGTAGCATTGTTCTTTAATTATCTATATAAAGGCATATTTTATAATCATTGTCAATTTTCCCATGGAGGCTCGGAAACAAGTTTTGTTTTGCATTGTACTATATCAATATAATAATCTATATATTACAATGCTACAATTATAAATCTTTATTAAAAATAAAGTTTTACTGAGGGGCATAAGTGAATGCTTGATGTATCATTGTATTTTGAATTTAATAATGTCAAATATATTCCAATGTACACTCTACTAATAAAATATAATTATAAATTCTTATGTACAACATATGTTATCTTAGACTAGCATTTTATACTTTATATTTAATTTGCTTATATTTTATATTTGTGGTGATACTAAGTTAAATGATTTCTTGTTCTAAAGTAGTAATTTTCCATTTTTTCAAATACCCTTTTTTCTCTTAGAAGTTTAATACATTGGGATTAAATATATTGGGATACATGATGCTCATAAGTGAATCTTTCTTGTTTCTTTTCATAAGACTTTCACATTTTACTAATCTTATCCTTTAGTTTGTGTTTGTTCTATTGTTAGAAAGTTCTCTTTCATATGTTTATAATTCTTCTTTCTCTTATATAGACAGGCTACTAACTTTTTTGTTGATTCTAAAATTGGTCATCTAACTAAAAGCTTATTAATTCAGACACGTGTTTGACTTTACTGGTTTCCATATAAAATTACCCAATTTGAAAATGGTGGTGCTTTTGTCTACTTTTCCTTTCGAAAGCTTGATCCAAGCGTCCCTCTCTTGGACCCAGCTTCATCTGTTCCCTTCCTCCCCTCAGCATGGAGGAGTGCGAGGCGCTCTGCACAAGGCTTGCCTTGATGATCCACGGCAGTTTCATGTGTCTCGGATCTCCTCAGCACATTAAAAACAGGTATGTTGTTTGTCTCTTGTGCTTTACATGTTTGCTCTAAAATCAATTTCATGGTACCATGCTATTATTGGAAATCACAGAGACTCTAGACATACTGTGATCCAATCAGTTCATTTCCGAGAACAGAGGGTGAAGGACCTGACATTGCAGGCCACTAGAATGCCCAGACTAAGGAGTTAGAGACTCAGGAGCTCCCCTAGCTAGTCCAGAATTTCCCCACATGTTTGCTTTCTTCCTTCCAAGACAATGTTGTGTCCTTACTTTAAAACACTGACAACAATTGGAAATATAACTGTAGGGTCAAGATGAAGAAAAAACAAGAAAGATTCTTATTATTACTAGTATTTTATCAAAAATTATATCAATTCCTCCCTCATCTACAGTAAATCAGAGGATTTATTTTACATACCAGACACTATACTTTTAAATATTTCTCTATAATCTAGTGGGTAAAATATTTATTAGTGTTGGTCTTTAAAAATGTAAGTTTTCTTTTCACATTTTCCATTAACTTTTAGAAACTTAATGATTGTGTTATAAATTTCTTGGTGCGATTTATGTCCTAGGTGTGCCCTCTCCCCTCCCCCTCAGAGTCCCCTAAAATGGTTTTAGAATTTCTTATCTTTTAATTTTTTTTAATTTACTATTGCATTTATTACAATAATTTTAAAAGAAGGTGTATCATGAATAGCTAATACACACATACATATAAGTTATACATCCCTATCAAATTATTTATACAGTATTATTGAGTACTTTAGGTCTGTATTTTTTTCTCTTTTGATATGTTCAATGTTTTTAAGCTTAAAATTTTTAAGCAGAGATGAAGTAAATATCTGTATGTGTTTAAATGTTTTTAATCTTTGATGAAAATAAGCATTGATTGAGATGAATTTTTTGTGAGTAACTAAACCAAATCTATTTCTATGGAGTTGAATCCTAGGCTTACAAAAGCTGTAAATCTTTTCGGATGCAGACTCCCGCATCCTCCTCCTATGTGCTGTTGACAGGTTCAAACTGCCAGCCTTTTCATTAGTAGTCAAGCTATGCAACCACTTGTTTCAGAAGTAAAGGTTGATTTTCCATCAGTTCTGATGTAGGCGGTCCTGGGAGGGTCAAACTCACTGCTGCTTTCTGCTTAGGGTCAATCATTTGTCAGCTGAACCTATTCAAAGTAGTTCTTGCAGTGCACTCTGTCATCTTTAATATGTATCACCAAAAGAAAAATAGTATTTCATTTGTGGCATAGTTGGGTCACAAGCGGGGCTGCTAACTGCAAGGTAAGGGGTTTGAAACCAGCAACCACTCTGTGGGAGAAAGGCGGAGTTTGTACTCTGTGAAGAGGGACAGTATGGGAACCCCACAGGGCGGGTCTCCCTTGTGCTGCAGGGTGGTTAGGCTGCCAGCAACTCCATGGCAGTGAGGGAACATTTACGGGTACTTACGTACAATTTTTGCAGCTACTTTTCTGATTGCAAAGGTGAGTTATGGTTGATTGCACCTGCTTGCCTTTTATAAGTTTGACAAAGGTGGCTGAAGAGTCAGCAGGACCACGCACACGAAAAGAACGACCCTCTGTCTGATAGCTCCCACCTGATCAGTTCTGAGTTTGGATGGTATTGATTTGTATTAATTGTGGAGGACCAAGTGTTACGAAATATGAACCGCTGAACCATTTCTAGCAAAAAAATACTCATGAATTATTCAACCAAGCATTGAACTAGATAAAGTATCCTGAATCATTTTTGAAGTATGTGGTTTTCTATAACATTCAAACAGACTTTATATTTCCATAAATTTAAGATTAAAATAATTGATTAATTAGGTAGTAGGTAGAGCTGAAAACTAAATTTATTTTTTAAATTGTGCTTGATCACTTATGAAGGACTCTTTTATGTATGGGCTTGGTCAGCTATTTCTTGCTGTTTGGTCGCCGTTGGGGGGAAAACTCCCTTTCTCCTAAGTTTCTTAATGATCAATGCTACTCTGCTCTAAGCTTTAACCTGGGTCATTCAGCTCAAACTACATGGATTATCAAACCCAGACCCCTGAATGCATTCAGCTCCACTGTGGTGGGTCAGCACATCCAACTTCCCCCAGTTAAGTGCCCAGAGTCACTCTAGTCCGCTAGCTAGCCTCCTGCACAAAAACACTCATCATTACTTGCTCCCTGGGTTGGTAAGTCCATCCCTCTGTCCCATGCTCTGACTTCTGGTTCTGATGCTACTCCTCTGACTATATCGATGCCATCTAGATTTAGGAGGTTCAGGTCCAGAGAATATACTCCACACTCCACCCCTGGCTCTTGCTGATAATGGTATCCCTACTCCTGCTTCTCAGAGGGATCATTTGACAGACAGCAGGATGCCACTACTAGTAATTCTGTTTGCAATTACTCCCATGTGAATCCTCTTGGTATCTTCCCCGACTGCGCTAGAAAGTACCAGGGAAGTTGTCTGGGTGTGAACCTTTATTTGCTGGGATTTTTAAATGCCAGATCCGTTTCTTTCTTGTCTGTTCATTTTTTTAAAATTTCAGAATGTGTTAGTTTGGTATATTTCCAAACATTTATCCATTTCTGCTAGGCTTTTAAAATTGTTGTTGGTGTACACTTCTTCATATTTTGTTATACATTTTATAACAAATAATAAAGGTAATACATTTTATTACCCTTGCTTCTGTTGTGACATTGCCCATTTTATTTCCAATTTGTGTTATTTCCTTCTTTTCCTATGTTATCTTTGACAGCGATTTGCCAATTATTTTAATTCTTTCAAAGAACCAACTTCCATCTTGATTATTTTGTTTTCTTTATTACTTATTTCTGCTCTAATTGTTACTATTTCTGTTCTCTGTTGACTATATTTTCTCATTGCTGTTTATATACATGTTGGACATGTTGGGGATTGGTATTGATTTTCAGAATTCTTTGTTTTAGGTTTTTAAGAATGTTATCATGATATACTTTGGAATGGCTCTTGCTATATTTCCTCTCATTGGAGCTTGTGTATCTGCCAACATGTTCACATTTGGTTCCTTATTCCAGACTAGGAATTCCTTATGATTAAATCTTGGGATATTGACTCCATGTCTCTATTTGGTTTTTCGTTACTCTTTTCTCTATTTCTCTTAAGACAATGAGTTGTTACTCTGTCTTTTACTTTACCCCGTCTCTCTTCAGTCAGCTGAATCTATTGCTGACTACGTCTTTGGGATTTTCTAATTCAATTCTGTTAGTCACTAGCTCCATTATTTCTCTTTGGCTTGGAAGGAGGGGTTAGTTAATTTTTCTTTAAATGTTTTCAATATGTTTATAGTTTCTCATTTTATCTCATTTTATTTTTTGATTCCAATTAATCTGTTTTCTGGTTTTAGTTTCCTATGAACCATTTAGTGCTATCGTCGCCCCTGTGTTAGTGTTTTCCTTTCGATTAGGCGTTTGCTATTGTGATCCTGTGTGTTTTACAATTTTGTTCATGATGTTGTCAATGTGATGTTTTAATATTTTATTGTGGTAATTTATATATAGAATCGTCTGTATTTCAAGGAATTATCTTTCTTAGATTTTACCTCCACGATTTGCTCTTTAGGAGTCTTAGTTGGACTGTGATATAAATATTTTGATTGCATATTTCAAAGTTTGTGGTTCAAACCCACAAGAAACATTAAGCTGCCTGGTCCACTAATGATTCACTTTCTCAGAATGCCTATAGGGTCACTGTGAATCCGAATCAGACTTATAGCAACCCTATTGGACAAAGTAGAAATGCCCTTTGGATTGTAAATATTTTTCAGAGTAGGACCAGATCAGCTGAATAAGTAACCAGAATCACCAGTCACTATGAGTCAAAATACACTGATAGGGAGTGAGTTTGCTTTCTGAGTCAGAATTGATTCAGTGGCAATGATTTTGTCCTGAGTAAGTGTGTGCTCGAGTGTGTCTGTGTGTATCTTTCAGCACTGAGTCAGCAGTTCTGTCTGAAGATTTGTTCTAGCGTGTGTCCATAGATTTTAGGGGTTTGCAAAAGTTTTCAGTCTCTGGATACTTATCTTGGCTAGTTCTCCCTAAGGTAACTAACTTTACTAATGTGAGGGTCCCTATGTCTTCTGTGAATTTGACTGAAGATTTCCCCAGATGATTACACTCCTGAGCCTGGATCCTTCAAATGTCTTTCTACGACTGGGGCATGGCTTTCCCTTTATGTCAACTCACAGCAACCCTACAGGACAGACTGGAACTGCCCCTGTGAGTTTCTCAGGCCATAAGACTCAATGGGAGTAGAAAGACCCATTTTTCTCCCCAGGAACTGAATGGTGGTTTCAAACTGCTGACCTTGTGTTTAGCAGCACAACCAATATGCCACCAACTGTTTACTCTTTCATCTTGGCCTACTGTCCCTTCAGAAGGCCCGAAGTCAGCACTTAATCTTAGTGGGGACCCCTTGGATATTATAGGAGCTCTGGAGGTACGGGCGTTAAGTAGTTGGCTACTAACAGAAAGGTGGGGACTTTAAAGCCACCAGCTGCTCACCAGAAGATGTGGCAGTCAGCTTCAGGAAAGACTAGTCTTGGAAACCCTCCGGAGCAGTTGTACTCTGTCCTCTAGGCTTCCTGTGAGTTGGAACGGATGGACACTTCAGCTGTGTGTTTGGTGCTTTGGGTTTTGTGTGTGATGTTTTTTGGGTGCGTCTTGATATTTTCTTTTTCCTTGATTTTTAATTTTAATATTGCTCCTGTCTGAAATCTGTTAAATTTCTTAGATAGGAAAATTCCCATCTCTCATAATGTTTGAGAAGTTTTCTGCTATTATTTATTCAAAGAGCATTTCTTAGACTCTCCCTTTTTCTTCTTCTAGAACTCTTATGATATGTAAATCATTTTTCATAATGGTTTTCCACATCGCCTATCATTCCAGTTCTTCTTCAGTGCAAAGCCATGGTGTTGTTCATGCCCATTATTTTAGGTTTAAACCCAAGTATTTCTATTAAGTAGAAGGATAT